GAATAAAATCTGCCTGTTAGGTGGGGGAAAACAACAACAGCAAAAGTCTTCACCACTGTGCCAATAAATAACATGATAGATGGAGAAACGATTGAAATGGTTAATGACTTCATCTTACTTGGATCTACAGTGAGTACTCTTGGTACCAGCAGTCAGGAGATCAGGACACGTATTGCTCTGGGAAAGTCTGCTGTCATTGACTTCTCCAAAGTACTAAAGAGCAATGATGTCAGTTTGAAGACTAAGGTGTGCTTGATTCAGGCCATGGTCTTTTCAGTCACTTCCTATGCATTTCAGAGCTGGACAATGTATGACAGAAGAATTTATGATGTTTGAGATGTGGTGTTAGAGAAGAGGAGTACTGAAAATCCCAAAGACTGACAAAAGAATAAACAGGTATGTCTTGGAAAAGGTACATCCAGAGTATTTTTTGGAGGCAAGGATGGTGAACTTTGGACATGTTGCTAGGAAAAGCTATTCATTGTAAAGATATATCATGCTTGGAAAGGTGAGGGGAGGTCAACGAAAGAGGAGAAGACCTCCCAATGAGGTGGATTTATACAGTGACTGCAGCAGTGGGCTCGAGTGTATCAGAAATGGTGAAGATGACAAGATAGGACAGGATTCAGGTCTGCTTATAGGGTTGCTATGAGTCATACTTGACTCTACGGTACATAACAACTTCAGCAGGTTTTCAGAGGCAGTAAATTGTACAGCAGAGAGTAGCCTGTCTTTCCCATGGTGCTGCTTGGTGGACTTGAACTGCGTGCCTTTTGCTTAGGAGTGTAGCTCCTTTAGCCATCAGAGCCCCCCTGTGACATTGATTACATTCTTCAAATTGTGTACCTACACTCAACCTACTTTCCCAAGTTTCTCCCCAAATTTCCTATCCAGTCTTTCTAACGGCTTTTGTCATCAATTTGATCCCATATGTTTTACTGTTTTCAGGTGCTGTGGAGTCAGCTCTTACTTGTAGCAACCTTGTCTACAGCAGAAGGCCTATCCTGTGCCATCCTCACACTCTGCTGTGCTTCCGTTCAGTGTTGCAGTCACTGTGTCCGTCCAACTTGTCGAGATTCTCCTGCTCCTTCTCTGACCCTCTGCTTTTCCAAGCGGGATGTCTTTTTCTAAGGACTGGTTCCTGCTGATAACATGATGCCCTAATTATGCGTGATAAAGTCTCACTATCCTTGCTTCTAAGGAACACTCTCACTGCACTTAGTCCAAGACAAATTGGTTTGTTATTTTGACAGTCAATTATATATGCTATATTTTTCACCAACATTTTTATTCTTCAAAGGTATTGATTCTTGTGCAGTCTTCCTTATGGTCAAACTTCCACATACATTTGAAGCAACTGGAAATGCCATGAATTGAGTTATACTCACCTTTGATTCTTGGCCACATTTTCCCCAATGCAGTATATCCTTTGAGTCTTTGACTGTTACTCCATAAGCTCGTATCAGAGATTGTGAGGGCGGTGCAGGATAGAACAAAGTTCAGATATGCTCTTCATATGGTCACTGTGGATTGTAGTCCATTCAACAGCAATTAACAATGCTTCCATAGGTATTAATTGTGAATCCAAATGAAATTAAATCCTTGGCATCTTCAATCTTTTCTACATTTATCATGATGTTAATCCCATATAGGTCATTCTTAAAATGCATAATGCATAAGGTGTTGTTGTTGTTGTTGTTATGTGCTGTCGAGTCGCCTGCGACTCATAGCGACCCTATGTACAACAGCCCTAAACTCCCCTGTGTCCTGTGCCAATCGCACTGTCTCTGACACTCCCATCCCAATTATCCCAGTCACTGAATCAATCCACCTCATAGAGGGCCTTCCTCTCCTGTGCCGTCCCTCCACCCTCCCAAGCATGATGTCCCTCTCTAAGGACCAGTCTCTCCTCACTACATGTCCAAAGTAAGTTAGACAGAGCCTCAGAATCCTTGCCTCCAAGGAGCCACCCAGTTTAACCCTCTCCAGGACAAATCTATTTGTTTTCCTAGCAGTCCATGGTATTCTCAATACTCTTCTCCAGCACCACAGCTCAAAGGCATCAATTCTCCTTCTATCCTCCTTGGTCATTGTCCAACTCTCTGATGCATAACAGGTGATTGCGAAGACCATGGCCTGTATCAGACGCACCTTAGTCTCCAGAGAGACACCACTGCTCTTCAGCACTTTGGAGAGGTCCCTAACAGCAGACTTTCCCATGGCAATGCGCCTTTTAATTTCCTGGCTGCTGGTGCCAGGACTGTTGACTATGGAGCCAAGCAAACTAAAGCTGTGTACAATCTCAATCTCTTCACCATCCATTCTGATGCTGCCAATTGGTCCAGTGGTGAGAATCTTTGTCTTCTTGACATTGAGCCTCAATCCATATTGTAGGCTGCAGTCCTTGATGCTCTGCAGCAGGCGCTTCAGGTCCTCTTCAGTTCCAGCAAGCAGGGTTGTGTCATCCGCATAACGCAGATTGTTGATAAATCGTCCACCAATCCTGACCCCGCATTTCTCTTCATAGAGCCCAGCCTCCCGGATAATCTGTTCTGCATATAGGTTGAAAAGGTATGGAGATAGGATGCATCCCTGGCGTACGCCCTTCCCAATTTTGAACCATGCAGTGTTCCCTTGCTCTGTTCTGACGACTGCCATTCTTTATTACTGAAGGTGAACTATAATAAAAAAAAAAGTAAAAGGGCGTATTTTTGTTTGAAGGATTAAACATTGTCTCACAGCAGCTTTTTTGTAGATTTAGCTGGCCCTAAGACCCCAGAAAGTCTGGATTCCATGAGAGAAATTCTGTTGTGCTTGACAAAAGTGCATGTTATTACTTTTGTACTGTGGTCCTAACTAGGCCTTGAGAGCATAGTTGGTAAAGCATTGGGTTGCTAATGGAAAAATTGGCTATTAGTATCCACCAAGTACTTGTTGAAGAAAGAGGAGCAGTCTCCTCCCCTGGAGACTTGTGGAGACTTGTGGCCTTGGAAACCTGGTAAAGGATTGCTGTGAGTTAGAACTGACTTCAGGGCAGTGGGGGTTTGGGAACTGGTGACCTAGTGCTAAGAAACTGTACTGCCAACCCAAAAGCACATGGTTTGGATCTGCCAGCTGCTTCTCAGGAGAAAGATGGGTAGTCTCCTTCTATGCAATTTACTTTCTCTGAAAACTCACTGGAAGGTCACCTATGAGTCAGTTCTAACTTGACAACTCATAAGAACAGAAAGGCTACAGCTTTCTATATAGATAACATCTTTTTAAAATTTTTTTTTTATTTTATTTTATTATTTTTTGTTTGTACCGTCAAATCAGATCTGACTGATACAGCAGGAGATTGTTCCTCCTTCTCCGGCAGATCATCTGGTGGATTTGAACCGTGTACCTCTGAGATTGCAGTGCAGCTTCTTGCCACTAGGCCACCAGAGCTCGCCATAGATAACATCTTAACATCAAGAAAGCAAAAATCCTTACTACTTGACCAATAGGCAACATCATGATAAATGAGAAAAGATTGAAGTCATCAGTGATTTCCTTTTACTTGGAGCCACAGTCAGTACCCATGGTAATAGCAGTTAAGAAATCAAAAGACAAAGGGAGCTCTGGTGGCCTAAGCAATAAGAAGCTGCACCACAATCCCAGAGGTACATGGTTCGAATCCACCAGATGTTCTGCCGGAGAAGAAGGAACAATCTTCTCCTGTACCACTCAGATCTGATTTGACAGTATACACACACACACACACACACACACACACACGCAAAATAAATAAAATAAAAATTAAAAAAAGAAAAGAAAAAGACAGGGAGCTCGGGTGGCCTAATGGCAAAAAGCTGCGCTGCAATCCTGAAGGCACGTGGTTGAAGTCTACCAGATGCTTCGCTGGAGAAAGAGGGGGGGGTAATCTCTTCCTCTGCCAGTAGGATCCTACTCAACAGTACACAACAAGAGGGGGCTAGGGAAAGAATCAAAAGACATGTTTCATTGGGTAAATCTGGAGAGATCAAAGGAGCTCTCTAAAGTGCTATATAGAACAAGGCTGTCAGTTTAAGTATATCACCAGCTAAATAGTAAATAAAGACTTTAAAGTGCTCTTGTTCCAAGCCTTGGTCTTTTCAGTTATTTCCTATGGATCTGGAAGTTGGATAATGAATAAGAATGACAGAAGAATTGATGTGTTTGAGTTTTGATGTTAGTGAAGAGTATTGAATATCCCACGGACTGCCAAAAGAACAAACACGCCATCTTGGAGGAGGATGGGACAAGGATGCTCCTTAGAGAGAAGTACGGTGAAACATGGTCTCATGTACTTTGAGTATGTTGTCACGAGGAGCTAGTTCTTGGAAAATGATATTATAGTAGGAAATAGAGGTTCAGAGAGAAAGGAAGACCTCTGACAAAATGGATGGACACAGTGACTGTAACAATGGATTTGACCATGTCGGAGAGGTGAAGATAGCAAGTTTCAAATCTGCTGTTCATGAGTGAGTTGTCATTGACTCGATGGCACCTAACATCAACAATAATACTATGTTCCTTAAAGTAATGTTCTACTCAAAGGGACAAAATACTGTTTTATTTCCTATAAGTAAAACCCCACTCCTGTCTATATGGTTCTAACTCATAGCGAGCCTCCATCAGATTCTGAATGCACAGAATTGGGTAGGATTTAGTTGTACAAAGAGTTGCTGTGAGTCACAACTGACTCAAAACAAGAAGAGTAAAATGATGGAATTAGAATTGTTTGGGGAACATATTGTACATATTTACAAAGTATTTTTCAAGAGATTGAAAGTTGAAGAGCTGTTGTTAAGAACCTGAAACTTGCAAATATCTGAGTCTCTTGTGTCAATGAGGTAGAAAAGAAGTATCCTGCCGACCTTCAGTTTGATAAATATCATTGATGTGTTCAAGTACATGTAATCTAGAGACATTAATAGACAAAATTCCTTTGTCTTTGGGTTCTAGCTTCTTGAAAATTGTTGTTCCTATGCATAAATATGTCTTTGGTGGACTTGGGGAAGCGATTGCTAGAAGCAGCAAGAAAAGGCCAAGATGATGAAGTGAGAACATTGATGGCAAATGGTGCCCCATTCACTACTGACTGGGTAAGAAAGATCTCTTCATTATTCCCAGCGTGTAATTTCATCAGCCTTTTTCCTAAAGGCTAAATGGACTTTATTGATTATTCTTTCCCTTTATGCCTTATTACCTTTACACAAATTTTATTTGTGCAGTCTGAATATTTGGTTTTCTTTTTCTTCAGATGGAAAGATTCTCCTTTGGATAGGTGTCAATGTAATTGTGCTTTTCTATAATGCTTTTTAGATTATTTTCAAAAGGTTGACTTTTTCCTGGAGTGTACTTTGATTATAGATTTCTGTAATTAGGTAGAAATTCAACAAAATTAATAAGGGTCTATTTCTTAATAACTGGTTATTTTTTCATTTTTCTACAATATGCACAGGTTAATAAGGAATTGTTTAGCCATTTTGTTTCCTTTACTACTATTTAGGCGAGCTCTGGTGGCATAGTGGCAAGAAGCTGCACTGTAGTCCCAGAGGTAGGTGGTTCGAATCCACCAGATGCTTTGTTGGAGAAGGAGGGACAATCCTGTACCAGTCAGATCTGATTGGATGGTACACACACAAAAATAAAAATAAAAATAATAATAAGCCTTTACCACTGTTTAAAAACATTAAAGAGGAAGGTATAATTTCATTAGCTTAGACAACAAACTAAAGAGAGTTTCAAAAGACTGAAGTCCCATTTATAAAAGAATCTTTCTTAGCCCTAAATAGTTAGTGGGGTTTTTTTTAGTATTGCCTAATTTTAACAATTTGATGAGAAAATGTTTTCTATTCTGGGTGATTAATTTATAACTTCAAAGCCAGCAGGTTCTTAGCACTCAGAAAAAGGAAGAAAAGAAAACACTTGAGATTAGCATTTCTATTAATAGCTCTAAAAAGAGTTATGTGAATTAACTTCAGTCAGTCGGAGAAGCAGAATATTTGAAAAGCAAAGGATACACTAAATAGGCTTTAAATAATGAGTGGATCAAAGGAAAGGAATAGATCTCAGGCCAAAGTGGAATACTGTTAGTTAATTCTTCCAAGATAAAAATTGAGATTGCACAGATTTACTTATGCTATTGACATGTCTCTTCTCTACCTCATTGGTTTTATTTGCTTTGCTTTCCTCTAACAGACTTCTATCCTAAACAATCGAATTTGGACCCAAGTTCCACATGTAACTTTCTAGTCTCTCCTTTTTTCCTAAAAATTGCTTTGGATTTACCTCTCCAATCTTTTTACTCCTGATTCTAAATGCTACTGTAGTAAACACATTTTTTAAAATTTTTATTAATTTTAATGGAAGTTTACAGAGATTTAGGGTTTCCAGTCATTCATTGTTGCACTTTTCTCCCTGCCCACTCCCTCCCCCTCAATTCACTCTTCTCCTTGAAAAGAAAAATAAAAATCTCTCATTGTTATGTAATCCCTCTTCCCCAAGTCCACTCTGCAGCCTTCACTCTGGACTTCTGTAATGATAAGAATACCCATTCATATATCCCTTTAAACAGTTCTCTCCCTCATCTGTTTCAATGCAGTATACATCATTCCTCCCCTCCTTTTCTGTCTTCCCTCATAAGCTGACGTCAGTCCCATTTTACAACAGTGGCCCTATGCAATATTTATCCTTTTGTGACTGAGATATTTTACTCAGCATAATGTCCTCCAAGGTCATCCATTTTGCATAATATTTCATTAGTTCCTTGTTTTTCAGTGCTGCATAGTATTCCATTGTGTGACTATACCAGAGCTTCTCTATCCATTTGTTTGTTGATGGGCAATTGGGTTGTTTCCAGCTCTTTGTTATTGCGAACAAAGGCGCAATAAACATGGGTGTGCGTATATCTGTTTGGGTGGCAGTTATGGTTTCTTTAGGGAGTAAACTCATTTTTAAAAACCTTTTTCTAAGTCCTGCTTAAAAGAATTTCCTTTAGTAGAGAATCTTAGCTGATAAATCTACCTGATTTAAATCTATTAAAGTTAGTATTTATTTAGCTGGTGATATATTTATTTATCCATAAAGTATATTGTTATTTTTTTTTAATTAAATACTTTTTTCAGCTCTGCCCCATCCGATTCTCTATACAAGGACAAGAACCAGAAGATTCACTTCTTATTCACTTGTATCTCACTCTTAATGATCCAGGGCTTTGCACATAGTGGATAGTCAATGAGTATTATTTTCCCGCAGCTTGGAACATCACCCCTCCACCTTGCAGCCCAGTATGGTCATTATTCCACAGCAGAAGTGCTCCTTCGAGCAGGAGTTAGCAGGGATGCCCGGACCAAAGTGGACAGGACCCCCTTGCACATGGCTGCAGCTGATGGACATGCACACATCGTGGAACTGCTTGTTAGGGTAAAACAAGAATAGTGGTGGGGCTGTGTTGGAAAAAAAATTACCAAACCATCCACCTCCCTCCTCCTTATTTTCTGACTTGAACATGTGGTAGCAAGTAGGGTTGGGAAGGATTATGCTAGGATAGTTTATAGCATTGAGTTTCATCTCTTTCAGGAGTTAGCACAGCTATGAGAAGTTTGTTTTCTAAGCTTTTTAAAGGGTAAACAGACTTTATTGATTTTTCTTCATTCTTTTTCAGCAGGTGTTCTCTGTACTTAGGCCTATTTTATCAAGCACTCAGCGCTCTGTTAATAAATGCAACAAAAATCTGTTCTTTTCTCCTTTTTTCCCCATCTGTCATAATTCCCCAGTGATGTCCTTAGACAACCCACTCATTGAAATCATTATGTCTGTCAGCATTCAGGAAAATTTGAGAAATGCTTTCTCTTTGATATTCTTTAAACGTGATCTAAATTTGAAAATGCGTAATCACTGTGGAAATCATCTGTAGTTGGTGATAGGATCTTGCACCTGTGCTACTATAACTAGTGTCTTTTGGAAAAATTACTTTTTCTGTCACAGAATGGTGCAGATGTGAATGCCAAGGACATGCTGAAGATGACAGCTTTGCACTGGGCCACAGAGCACCACCACCGAGATGTTGTAGAGCTGCTTATCAAGTACGGTGCTGATGTACATGCTTTTAGCAAGTTTGATAAGTCTGCCTTTGACATAGCCCTGGAAAAAAACAATGCTGAGATTCTGGTTATTCTCCAGGTATGATTCTTCTTATACTCCCCAGAATATCCTTCACTTGAAGTTAAGTATTTAAGAAGTTAAGAAAATAAGTAAAAATTATTAAAGTAGTACTTCAAGTGGGTTTCAGTCTTGTGACTCAATGTAATTAGTATCTTTCTAAAAAGATTCTGTAGAACTTTGAATTTTTCTTGGTGATTTAAAACCAAAGTGTGGCTAGTCCAGAAATAACATTTATTTGATTTTGTATTTATTTGTTTTTATCCTCCATGAGAAAAATCTCTCATTTTCCTTTTTACTTAGTCTTAACTTGAGATAATATAAGCCACTGTCTGTGTTTTGAATGTACATCACAACTGATACAGGATAGATCCAAAACTTACTGAGTCATAAGAAAACAATCTCAGAATTAAAAATTAGCTATGATTATTTCACTAATTTCTTAAGCAAGCACTTTTATATTAGGCACTATTATGGGCAATAGGATGAGAAATACAAAGACTTTTAAGACATGGCTCTGCTTTCGGAGTAGTCACAGCATCATGGAGTTAAAAACCAGAAAATAAAACATTAAAGTCCTCCAGGGTCTCTCCCTCCCACTCTCCCTTTGAGTGGTTTCCAACTCATACAGTGACCCTCCATCAGGTTTCCAAGGCTGTACATTTTAATGGGAGGAGACCACCCATCCTTTTCACTTGGAGCAGCTGGTGGATTCAAACCATTAGAGACAAAAAGCCTTTTTGTTAGCAGTGCAACACCCTACCCCACCAGAGCTCCTCTAAACATATCTTGCAAGTGTTACAAGAGCACAGAGGAGAGAGTTCTAATGATGCTTAAGGGAAGACTTAAAGAATATGGAAAATTAGAACTGAATCTTGAAGGAAAAGTAGACACAGAAGTAAAAAGGTAATATTCTAGGCTAGGGAAAAAGGAAATGAAAAGCAAGAATGAAAGACATGAACTGTTCAGGAAAGAGTAAGTCAAGAAGTTCTGTGATGAGAGAATGGGCAAAGTAGAAGTAGAGCCAAAGGTTGAAAATTAAGCTGGGTCTGAAAACAGGGTTATCATATGGCATGCTAAGGAGTTTGGACTATTTTGTGAAGATCCGCTAGAAAATGAGTGATATGATTAGATATGTTTAATAACAACAGTTTTTGGGAGTGTTGCATACGTACGAGAGAGAGGAGACAGGCTGAAGAATGGTTTGATTAGTCCAAACAGGATCCAGTGAGAGCTTGAACTAAAAGTGGACAGTACATTAAAGGAGCAGATCAAAACAAAACAATAATCCAGCCTTGCTAAAGCAGTAAAAATAATTTTATTTTTAAAAATGAAGTTAGAGGTGCAGTTTCCAGGAAGAATTTAGCAGTAACCAGAGAATGAATAATTTATCTCAACTGAAGTTCTTAGCAAGGGGATGATTATATATGAAAAAGACATAATCCTATTTCTATTGCATTTTCATTTTTGTTTGTTTTACTGACAGATGGTTCTCCATAGACTGGTTATCATTTTCAACTTTCAATTCCTGGGTTAGAGTTTCTTTCAAAACTGGACTTTTCAAAAGTGAACGTGTTTATAAAAAACTGTTTCTGAAAGTTAAATAAATAAATGTAAGGTTCCCCCCCCCACTAAAGTTGAGCAAATATTCCTGGAAGCAGAATGCAACATATGGAACTAAACTTTAAAATCTGGCACTCATTTATTTGCTTGTTATGTATTCTCCTAGGAATTTCTTCAGTGGCAGAATGGAACAAGTAGTTGGACAAAACTCTAGAGAATATTGTTCTCTGCAGGGCATAAGGGATCTCTTGCCAACATGTTGACTTGTAGATAATTGCTCTTAGAATATTAGTGCCAGAAATTATTTTCTAGACTATTTAAGCCAAACCTCTCTTTTTTTTAAAACAAAACAAAACACCAAAACACAACAATAAACAAGACCTGCGAAGATAAAATGAATTGTCTAAAAGTTTTTGCAAACTTCTTTGCTTTTCTAAAATAATAACAAATTTGAGAAATAACAACATACCTGCTGGGGAGCTCTGGTGGCCTAGTGGCAAGGAGCTGCAACTACAATGCCAGAGGTGCACAGTTCAAATCCACCAGATGCTCTGCCGAGGAAGGAGGGACAATCTCCTCCTGTACCAGTCAGATCTGATTTGACGGTACACGCACACAAAAATTAAAAAAAAAAAACATCCACCAGATGCTCTGCCGGGAAAGGAGGGACAATCTCCTCCTGTACCAGTCAGATCTGATCTGACAGTACACAGACACACATACACAAAATAAAATTAAAAAAAAAAAACCATACCTGCTGCCTTGGTCTGGAAAAACAGCAATCTTACTGAGAATACTGAGCTCCCTGGTGATGTAGTAGTTAAGTGCTTCGCTAGTAACAGCAAGATTGGTGGTTCAAACCCATAAGCCTCTCCTTGAGAGAAAGATACATAAAGATTGTGGTGGTGGTTGTGGTTTTTTGTATCATCAAGTCAGAACCGACCTATGGCTGACCCTTCAGTGGGTTTTCGGAGGCAGTAAATTGCAAAGATGGTTCATCTTTCTCCCCTGGAGTATCTGGTGGATTTGAACCACATACCTTTGGGTTGGTAGCACAGTTCCTTACTACTATGCCATCAGAACTCCTCCAAAAAGGCTGTAGTCTTGGCTTACAAGGAAGCTATACTCTCTTATAGAATCGCTTATAAGCCAGACTTCACCAATGATGATGGGTATGGGAGGCTCCTTGGCTCATTCTCTGTAGTTCTTCTTGATAGAACATTGCCAAGGGTTGGGGAGTGAACAAGACTGTTTAATAACCATATAGCCATGGCTAATAAATGCTCTGGAATATCCTGGCTTGTTTGGTAGGAAGCAATGCAGAATCAGGTGAATGCTAATCCTGACAGAGCCAACCCTATGAGTAACGCTGTGACCATGGCTGCTCCGTTCATCTTGACATCAGGAGAAGTTGTCAACCTTGCTAGTCTTGTTTCTTCAGCTAACACCAAAGCAACTTCAGGTAATATTCTGATAATATGATATTTATTTGAAATGCTAAAAACTAACTGAATCCCAAGTTTTCCCATAAAATGAACAGAGAAACTCTTTGATGCCCACTCATTTATTAAAATACCCTCCAAACAGAAGATTTGTAGTGGATCTTAAGGTTAATAGATTTCATTTTTTTTCTGTGGAGGAATTTTACTTAAACTGAGGGAATATCAGACACAGGGATTATTTGTAGATGCCAAATTTGATAAAAGTGAAATATTCTAGTGTTATGCCTAACACAAAATGAAAATATAAAAGTGTCTCTCAAGATAGTGCTGTGGGCCATCTTTCCATCCCTCAGTCCGACGGGGTCCAGAGATGCTGCCCAAGGAGAAGCCCAAGTCCACTTCAAATTTGTGTTGGTGGGCGATGGTGGTACTGGAAAAACAATGTTGGTGAAATGTCATCTGATTGTTGATTGCAAGAAGTATGTAGTCACCATAGATATGGCAGTGTGTTCCACACCAATAGAGGACCAATTAAATTCAACATGTGGGATACAGCTGGCCAGGAGAAATTTGGAGGGTTGAGGGATGGCTGTTATATCCAAGCCCCGTGTGGCATTATGTTTGATGTAACATTGAGAGTTACCTACAGTAACGTGCCTGACTGGCATAGGGATCTGGTTTGAGTATGTGAAAATGTTCCCATTGTGTTGTGTGGCAAAAAAGTAGACATTAAGGATAGGAAAGTTAAGGCAAAACTCATCATTTTCCACCGAAAGAAGAATCTTCAGTACTATGATATTTCTGCTAAAAGCAGCTACAACTTTGAAAAGCCTTTCCTTTGGCTTGCTAGAAAACTAATTGGAGACCCTAACTTGGAGTCTGTTGCCAGGCCTGCTCTTGCCCCACAGAAGTTGTGATGGACCCAGCTTTGGCAGCACAATATGAGCATGATTTGCTCAGACAACTGCTCTCTTGGACGAGGCTGATGATCTGTGAGAGAATGAAGCTGAAGCCCAGTGTCAGAAGTCTAGTTTTATAGCCAACTGTCCTGTGATATCAGTGGTGCCATGTGTTTATTATCTAGCGAGCAGAACACATGCTAAATCTCTGGGTTGCTGAAGGAGATGAATGAGCTTCAGAATGAGTGTGGCAGTTAAATAAACCTTCATTTTGTGGACCTTCATATTTAACTGTTTTGGAAGGCAGTTATTTCCTTGTTGAGTTTCAAATACGAGACTGCTATAGTCATATCACAATATTCCATGGTAAAATCTTGTTAGTGTTATTCCCATGCCATTTTGTTTAGAACCAGAATAAAGTTGTATTTCAAATATATATATATATATATATGTATATGTGTGTGTGTGTGTGTATATATATAAAGGAAAGATAGTGCTGTGGAGGAAGTATTCATGTCTGAAGCAATAATAAAGCAAAATAGACAAAAGTGTAGTGGTAATATAAAAGAGTTAAGTACAGTTATTTGAATAAAGTATAAGAATCTTGTGTCATCTGCGTAACGCAGTTTGTTGATAGATCTTCCACCAATCTTGACCCCACATTTCTCCTCATAGAGCCCAGACTACTGGATAATCTGTTCTCCATACAGGTTGAAAAGGTATGGAGACAGGACGCATCCCTGGCGTACGCCCTTCGCAATTTTGAACCATGCAGTGTTTCCTTGCTCTGTTTTGATGACTGCCTCTTGGTCCAAGTATAGATTTCTCATTAGCACAATCAAGTGTTCTGGGATTCCCATTCTTCTCAGAGACACAACCCTGCTTGCTGAAACTGAGGAGGACCTGAAGCGCTTGCTGCAGAGGGTCAAGGACTGTCGCCTCCAATTTGGATTGAGGCTCAGTGTCAAGAAGACAAAGATTCTCACCACTGGACCAATTGGCAGTATCAGGATGGATGGTGAAGAGTTTGAGATTGTTCACAGCTTTAATTTGCTTGGCTCCACAGTCAACACTCTTGGCACCAGTAGCCAGAAAATTAAAAGATGTATTACCATGGCAAAGTCTGCTTTTAGGGACCTCTCCAAAGTACTGAAGAGCAATGGTGTTTCTCTGGAGACTAAGGGGCATCTGATACAGGCCTTAGTCTTTGCTATCACTTGTTATGCGTCAGAGTTGGACAGTGACTAAGGAGGATAGAAGGAGAATTGATGCCTTTGAGCTGTGATGCTGGAGAAGAGTATTGAGGATACCATGGACTGCTAGGAAAACAAACAATTCATCCTGGAAAGGGTTAAACCAGGTGGCTCCTTGGAGGCAAGGATTCTGAGGCTCCGTCTGACATACTTTGGTCATGTTGTAAGGAGAGACCGGTCCTTGGAGAGAGACATCATGCTTGGGAGTGTGGAGGGATAGCGCAGGAGAGGAAAACCCTCTATGAGGTGGATTGATTCGGTGACTGCGGTAATCAAGATGGATGTGTCAGAGACCATGAGATTGGCACAGGACAGAGCAGAGTTTAGGGCTGTTGTACATAGGGTCGCTATGAGTTGCAAGCAACTTGACGGCATATAACAACATAAAAATCTTGGTTCACATGAGAGCATATTTTAAAACAACAGGGCAGGGGAGCTCTGACAGCCTAGGGGAAAGGAGCTGCAGCTACAATCCCAGAGGCACACGGTTCGAATCCACCAGATGCTCTGCCGGGAAAAGGAGGGACAATCTCCTTCTGTACCAGTCAGATCTGATTTGACGGTACACTCACACAAAAATAAAAAAAAAACAACAGGGCAGAATACTTGATGTTGATCTTTTGAGATCAGAATATTTGTAACAAAAGCTTCTATATAAAAAAAGAAATAAATTAATTTCTTTGAAATAGTTCCTTTTACAAATACTTGTTTTATGATGGAACTTATATCTTTATTTAAATAAGTTTCTATATGGACTATTTCTTTTTTCTGTTGAACTTTCATTTATAAAGAAACAATTACATTCCTAGTGAAGTTTGTATAATATATAAAAAGGGTCTTGAATTGGTTTATTACTGAGAGGCAGTATGGTAAAATAGATATATAATGTCCATAGAATTTTGTATTCAGAATTTATATTAAATACTTGTTTACTAATTTACTAGCTTGACTTTGAGAACACTAATTATTTCTCTAAGCTGTCTTTACTTACTTGTAAGATGTGGATATATTCAGTCTTGTTTTATACGGTTGTTGTAAAACTTTGAATGTTTGTGTTTCAGTGCCTGTTCCATAGCAGTGCTTCAGTTTTGTTTTTAAATTGCCACGAAATTGATTCTGACTTACAACTACCCTTTAAGACAGAGTAAAACTTCCCATAGGATTTCCAAGGCTGTAAATCTTTAGGGAAGTAGATTGCCACATCTTCCTCAGTGGAACAACTGATAGGTTCAGACTTCTGACCTTTTGCTTATCAACTGCTGTATTTCCTATTGTTAAATGAAAATATACATTCTCAATGAAGAGTAATGTGTTCTGGTGGTGGTGTGCTGCTAAACCAGAGACCACAGCTCTATGGAAATTTAAGTCCACTCATGGCTCAAAGGAAGAAAATGGGCAATGTCCTCCAGAGATATATACAGCCTGGGAAACCCAGTGGAGGGTCAGCTGTGAGTTGGTTCTGATTGGATGGCAGTGAGTGGGTGCAGTGAATTATTCCCAGTGTGGCATTCTTTTCCTCTGTAAGGACCACAAGAGGGCAGTACTGAGATTTCCCCTCCCCCCTCCCAAGACTATTAACAATTAATTGAAGATGAACCACTTTGCTTCACCTGTACTGAAGACAAAAATTGGCTTACATATAATCAAGTCATTCATAACACTGTGTATTTGAAGTTCAAACTACAATGATTAGAGCAAGTGCTTTTATAATCCAGAAGTCTTTAGATACCAGTGAAGGTTCACAAATGTGACAAGTTAAGTAGACTTGGTCTGTAGTAAAACTGAAATTGTCCACTCTCAGCTGGAATGTTGAGCAAGGTTGACCATTCAGATTAAAAGTTCTTTTGCCTTGGTTCCCAGAGGCCAGTATGATGCTTGTTACATTGCTTTGAACAGAGCTACTCTTTTTTTTCTTTAAGATAAATTTTTATTTTATATTGGTTTGCTTATAAAGTTCATATACATTGTTTCACACTATCCTTCATTCACATTATGTTTCATATAATCATTTCCATTCATTATATTTTGTCAAATTAATCAATATTGAAATATGTGCACCATTGCCTTGTCTTTCCAGATCCCCCTGCATCTTTCCCATTTCCTTTACACACACACACCCTCCACCCATCAAATTGTGTGACCCTGTGATTTCCCCCAACCCATCCTCACCCCTCTGCTCCTATCCTCTTCTTCTTGGATCCTCATATACATTTTAATTTTAGTGTGTGTGTGTGTACTGTCAGATTGGATCCAACTGGTACAGGAGGAGATTGCCCCTCCTTCTCCAGCAGAGCATCTGGTGGTTTCAAACTCTGCGCCTTTGGGATTGTAGTGCAGCTTCTTGCCACTTGGCCACCAGAGCTCCACTAGTTATCTTTCTGTTTCTACAATAATATACCTACTCTCCTTTTCTCTGTTAATGTTGTATGAAACATTTATAACATATCAACATGCAACTACATAACCATATTGTTGTTATGTGCTGTTGAGTCACCTGCAACCCATAGCGAACCTATGTACAACAGCTCTGAAGCCTGCCCTGTCCCAAGCCAGTCTTACTGATTCTGACACACCTAGCCCCATTGCCACAGTTATTGTATCATTCCATCTCATCCGGGGTCTTCCTTTCCTTTGCCGTCCCTCCTGCTTTCTGAACATGATGTCCTTCACCAAGGACTGATTCCTCCTGGCCACATGCCCAAAGTATGTAAGACAGAGTTTTAATATCCTAACCTCCAAGGAAAAACTTGGTTTCAACCTCTCCAAGACAGACTTAATTGTTTTCTTGGTGGTCCATGGTATGTTCAAGACTCTTCCCCATCACCATAACTCAAAGGTATCAATTCTTCTGTCATCTTTAGTCTTTGTCCAACTCTCTGATGCATAGCAAGTAATGGCAAAGACCATAGCCTGGATTAGGTGCACAGTAGTCTGCAGACAGATACTGTTGATGAGAGATCCCAGAACACTTAATTGTGCTTATGCGAAACCTATCCTTGTACCAAGAAGCAGTTCTCACAACATAGCAAGAAAACACTGCATGGTTCTAAATCAGGAAGGGAGTGCATCAGGAATCCATCCTGTCTCCATACCTTTTAAATCTATATACAGAACAGATCATCCGGGAGCTGGGCTCTGTGAGGTGGAGTGTAGCATCAGGACTGGAGGGAAATTCATCACAATCTGCATTACACAGATGTCATAACCCTGCTTGTCGAAACTGAGGAGGACTTGAAGTGCATGCTTCAGAAAGTCAAGGACTATAGTCTTCAATATGGATTGAAGCTCAACATCAAGAAGACAAAGATTCTCACCACTGAGCCAATTGGCAGCACCATGATGGATGGAGAAGAGATTGAGGTTTACAGCTTGCTCGGCTCCACAAGCTTGGCATCAGCAGTCAGGAAATCAAAAGAAAAATTGCATTAGGAAAATCTGCCATCAGGTATCTCTCCAGAATACATAACCATATTAACTTTCTGTTTACATTACATTTGGATATTTATTTTCCTTTCATTTTATTGGGGATTTCTGTTGGTATAATTGGTAAAGGGTTGAGCTGCTAACCAAGGCCTTTCCTCTCCAGCTGTTCAAATCCACCAGCAACTCTGAGGGAGAAAGATTGGCATTCTCCTCATGTGCAGTTTACAGCCTCCCACAGCCTGCTGCAGGGTCAGCTGTGAGTCATTTCTGACTCAGTGGCAGGGAGTAAGTGAGTTAGGGGGCTACACTGGCAACTGCAAGTTGAACTCACTAAACTGCATACAACAGATGACCTCTCCAGTGCCATCTTAACAGTGAAGCAATTCTACCTATCCCTTTAGCCGGGTGGCCTGCCTCATGTGTAGTCTGCTTGAACTTTACAACAGCTTATTTACTGATTGCTAGTGATTTATAAATAACAACAAAACTGTTAAAAAACCCACCCAACCATATTCTAATCTACATGAAGAGTGTATCTAACAATTGCTTATTCCTTGTTTGTTTCATCTGAGAATATTGTGTATTCTTATGTCAGCATTTGATATGAGAGACTGAGTGATGAGGAAAAGATGAACTGAGCAGGAAAATTGGGAAACAAACTGTAGCTGAATCTTGCTCAGCATAACATCATTAGATAGTTTCCTTCTGGAGGTCAAGCACTGTGTTTCACGCAGACCATTTGGTTCCCTGGGAATTAAGATTATTCTAAGAGAGAATAAAATGGAAATATCACCCCTGTCTCCATCCTTACTCCCACAGTCATCATTGAAAACCCTTGATTAAGCTGGTTTGGGACAATAAGGGCTACTATATAGTACTCCACAACATTTAAATGTATAAAATAAGTTACCTAGATTAGTCATATAAGAAAGGACTCCTCTGTGGAAGTATTCACTGTGGGTTTTTTTTTTGTTTTTTTGTTTTTTTTATTATTTTTGTGTGTCAAATCAGATCTGACTGGTACAGGAGGAGATTGTCCCTCCTTCCCCAGCAGAGCATCTGGTGGACTTGAACCGTGCGCCTCTGGGATTGTAGTTGCAGCTCCTTACCACTAGGCTACCAGAGCTCCCCTTCACTGTGGTTTTTAAGGGTTCTCAAGTCAAGTACAACTCATAGTGAGTGACCCTACGAACAACAGATCTGACCATCCTGTTCTAGGCTTAAATAGAAGCTTCCTTAAGTATTTTACTGATAACTGACTTCTAGATAGAAGAAAAGGTGGAAAGAATCATTAGGCACAGATAGTAAGGAAGCTTAAAAATTAAGAGTATATTTAAGAAGTTATAAAGTGTATCTGAGCCTGAAACTACACAGTAATTTCTAGAATGTAAGTCTACAAATTCTTATATATTTATATACTCTAAATTATACAACTCTGTTGTTAAGTGCCATTGAGTTGAGTGCAACTCATAGCAAACCTTAGAACAACAAATCTGAACCCTGTCCTATTCTGTACCACCTAATCATCCCTGATAGGTTTGAGCCCATTGCCCCAGGCACTGTATCAATTCATTTAATTGAGGTTCTTCCTCTCTTTTGCTGACCCTCCACCTTCCCATGACATCTTTCCAAGGAATAGCCTCTTCTAACAACATGTCCAAAATATGTGAGATGAGGCTTCGCCATCTTTCCCTCCAAGGAACATGCTGATTGTACTTTCTCCAAGACATAATATGTCTGTTCTTTTGGTAGTCTATGGGATATTCAGCATTCGATTCTTTTACTGTCATCCATATTCATTATCCAACTGTCAGATGCAAAGCAGGTGATTGGGAAGACTGTGGCTTGAATCAGGTACATCTTAGTCTTTAAACTGACATCATGCTCTTCAGGACTTTGGAAATATTCCTGACAGCAAACTCTCCAAATGTTTTATGTCTCCCTATCTCCTGACTGCTGGTACCAAGGGTGTTGAATGTGGATCCAAACAAGATGAAATTGTTGACAATTTCAGTCTTTTCTCCATCTATCATGATGTTGGCTATTGGTCCAATGGTTAGAATTTTTGTTTTCTTGATGTTGAGATGTAATCCATATTAAAGGTTACAGTCCTTGATTCCTCTGCAGCAAGTCCCTCATGTCCTCTTTACTTTCAGTTAGAAAGTTTGTGTCTCATTTGCATAATGCAGGTCATTGATGAATCTTCCTCCAGATGTCATGATCTTCTCCATGAAGTTCAACTTCTCTAACGATTTTGCTCAGGATACAGATTGAGTAAGAGTGGTGAAAGGATACAACCCTGACTCACTCTTTTCTCTATTTTATCAGAGGTTAGTATTGCCACATTGTTCCCTTACTCTGTTCATACAACAGCTTCTTACTCTAAGTACAGATTTTGCATTATTAGGTGTTTTGGAATTCCCAGTCTTCTCAAGGTTCGACAAATGCCTTTGCATGGCAAAAAACACCCCACAAACACAGGCATTCTTCTGGTATTCTATGCTTTCAGCCAAGATCCATTTGACAATAGCAGTAATACCCTTGATGCCACAGCCTCTTCTAAATCCAGCTTGAACTTCTGTTAGTTCTCTGTCAATATATTGTTCTATCCATTTTTAAATTATCTTCAGCTATTTTTTATTGCATGTGATATTAATAATATTGTTCAATAATTTCTGCATTCTGTTAGATCACCTTTTTTGTCAGTATGAATAAACATGAATCTCTTCAAATATGTTGACTGTCTTCCAAATTTCCTGGCACAAGCTGGTGAGCACATCAGAGCTGCATCTGTTATTTGGAACATGTCCGTTGGTATCCTGTTGATTCTTGGGGCCCTATTTTTTGCCAATACCTTCAATACAGCTTGAACCTCTTCCCTTATCACCATTGGCACTATATCATAGGCTACTTCCTATATCATTTATAAATTCATACATGATAATTATTAACTGATAAAAAAAATAGGTAACAGTGAAGGGAACTCTACAAAAATAGGGAAGTAATCAGGTACAGGGGGCAACCACGATTTTATTCTGACAAAGCTTTATCTCATACCAGTTGTCAAAGAAGAAATGCTTAAAGATTCTAGCTCCAGTATGAGAAAACAAAACAAAGAAGGGTAGATCTGAAGCTGAGAGACAACAAATTGCATAATAAGTACTTCTGAGATTATAGCCAAAACACATAAGGAAATAAGACATAAAATAACAGGTTATGATGAAAGTTTAAAAATCACTTCATGATGTAAGTAAAATGGATAATAATTATTTTAAGCATTAATCCATTATGCTACCTTTGAAATTCAGCGTAAGAAACTGTTGTTACACAGCTGGCTAATGAATAGAGGCTAGGTGATTGAGTCAAGCCCGGGTGGGGCCTATTCTCTTGGTGTTGCTTCATTTAGAGTGAAGCACACTTTGTAGGCTTACTGCCTGTTGCCAAGGAGAACGCCGCACAGCCAGCCTGGAGTGTGGGCGGCACGCCTGTCTGTTGGCCGTCAATACTCAACATTGGCAATGCCAAGAGAATGAGTGAATGAGAGGAATGTGGTAGCCCAACACCAGGCTATAGACTTAATCTCCTTTAAGAAAAAAAAACTGTTTAAAAGAAATTTAACACTGAAATTGGTTTCTGTTAGATTAAAGAGAAGACTAAGGACATTATTGGGTACAACTGGGGTTTTGACTTAATAAGCTATTTTTAGTTAATTTACTCCTGATGGACTTCATTTGCCTTTTTTACTGAAATAGGTGGCCCCCAGGCCTCAGCAGTACAGTTCTCAAATTCTACCACCTCAGTGCTGGCCACTCTTGCAGCTCTTGCTGATGCATCAGCCCCCCTCTCCAACTCACACAAAGCCACAGGTAGGTAAGGAATAGCTGCTGGATGAATCATTTCTTTCATTTTAATATCTCCAGCAGATTTCATTTTCATGAAATAGTAAAGAATTGTGACTAGAGGCATCTCAAGATGTAGAATCATTAAGCCTCAGGAGAAAAAAAAATTCTTAAATGATCAGATAGCTGAGTAAGATCAAAGAATGACTAAGTTACTCCTTTGTATTTTTTGCAGTTTCGAGTTTGTTTATCCCAGCTCCACTTGCTTCATATTGAAATATTTAGTTATGTATTAGCAGATTTTTTTAGATACTCTGTTATGTTTTGACTGATGCTGTCATAGAATGATTCAAAATAGCAGCCTAGACTCGTGTATTAAAGTTATTAAACTGTGGAGTTTGTTTGCTGCCTCTCTCATTGCTATATTCGGTGTTCTTTTTGTTGTTATTGTTGTGTACCATCGAATCTGACCCAACTGGCACAGGAGGAGATTGCCCCTCTTTCTCCAGCAGAGCATCTGGTAGATTTGAACTGTGCCCCTTTGGGATAGCAGCACAGCTTCTTGCCACTAGGCTACCAGAGCTCACTAGTATCCAGTGTTCTTCAGGTTGAGTTGCTTTTATTTACACTGGAGATATTTTGCATTTCCAATGAAGCTGAACAATTGCAAGCTATATAGTAGTGCCTTTCTGATATTTAAAACAAAATATTTTCTGGACACTTAGCCAGCACTAGTAGTCTGTGAGGAAAGGGAAAAGGCTTAGAGTATCACATAAATAAAACAAGTCTAAATAGCCATCCAGGAACCTTTCTGGAACTCTCTAGAAATCTACTCTATCATAAATAAAAGCAGATTGTTCTGGTTTCTTTCTGCCATTGATGTTTGGGTGGTAAGAACGTTCTTCTGAAGCCAGAGAGTCGGCATCTAGTTCCCAAATCAGTAAGACAGTTGATTTAACTACCATTGGAAAATGCTTGTCATTTTCCTGTAACATCTAGTCCCCACTGGATCACTTTCATTTCCTTCAACTGCTCCCCCACCAACCAATTTCTGCAGCTCTGCAACTGCATCCCTGCCCATCCTCACCCTTTGCCCCCAACCCTCACCTCCTTGTACCCCCAATTTGTTTTTTCCCAATTAAAAAAAAAAAAAGAAAAAGATTGGAGTCTAGAAAAAAAAAAGAACGTTCTTCTGGCCCTATTTTTCTACTAATAGAAATCATAGATCTCCACATAGATGAGTATGAATGGAGAGCATGGAAAAGGAGAAAGGAAAGGATTAAACTTATTCATGGTTATGCTGTTTTACTCTTTAATTGTGAATAAATCACAACTTCTCCAGGACTCAGTTTCTTCCTGTCTAGTATGATGGTTGGATTAGATTTTCTGTTTGGTCCTTTCATCTGTAGCATTTCCTATTTGTTTATATCTAGGAGGTGTGGATGCTCTGTTTTCATTGAACCAATTGACTGTCTGATATGGGCAGTCCATATCCCATTTAGTAGAAATTTTGCCTGCTCTTTAAATAGAGGAATTCCATAGTGGTAGGAACAGTTTCCCCTAAGTCATTGCTGTTGAGTCAATTCTGATTTGTAGGGATTCTCTAAGACAAGTTAGAATTACCTTATAGGTTTTCTGAAGCTGTAATCTTTACAGAAGCAGACTACTATATATTTCTCCTTCAGCAGCTGGTGGATTTAAAGCAGCACTGTTGGTTTAGTTAGTAGCTGCGCTCTTAACCAGTGTGCCCCCAGTGCTCCTCTTCCCCCTGATTTGCACCAAACTCACTGCCATGCAACCTTTTCTGACTCATTCAACCCTCCCTCAGGTTTCAGAGGCTGTAAATCTTTATAGGGGGAGACTGCCCATCTTTCTCCCTCAGCGTGATTGGTAGATTCAGCTGGTGTTGACCATTCGGTTAATAGCTCAAAACGCTATACAACAAGGCCTCTCTTACTCCATTAGTGTTTAGTATTTGGGGTGTTTACTAACCAAACTGAAAATCTTGATTCTATACAATCGATATCAAACTCATGTTGTTGTGTTATGTGCCGTCAGGTCTCTTGTATTTCAGAACAGCCCTATGTACTACAGCCCTAAATCCTGTTCTGTCCTTTGCCAACCTTATTGTCTGACACACCTACCCCCATTACCCCAGTCATTGAATCAGTCCAACCCATTGAGGGTCTTCCTCTCTTGTGCTGTCAGTCCACCCTCCCAAGCAGGATGTCCCTCTCCAGGGATTGGTCACTTCTTGCAATATGTCCAAAGTATGTCAGACTTCAGCTTCAGAATCCTTGCCTTCAAAGAGCAGCCTGGTTTCACCCTCTCTAGGACGAATCTGTTTGTTTTTCCAGTAGTTCAGTAGGTATATTTAATACTCTTCTCCAGTACCACAGCTCAAAGGAACCAATTCTCCTTCTCTTATCCCTAGTCATGATCCAGATTTCTGACACGTGGCAAGTAATTGCAAAGACCATGGCCTGGATCAGGCACACCTTAGTCTCCAGACTGACATCTTTGCTTTTCAGTATTCTGAAGGGGTCCCTGACAGCTGATTTTCCTAATGCAATTCGTGTTTTAATTTCCTGGCTGCTGATACGAAGAGTGTTTATTGTTGAGCCAAGCAAACTAAAGCAGTTAACAGTCTCTTCACCATCTATCATAGTGCTGCTAATTGGCCCAGTGGTGACAATCTTTATTTTCTTGATGTTGAGCTTCAATCCATATTGGAGACTATGATCCTTGATCTGCTGCAGCAAACGCTTCAGATCCTCATTTTCAGCCAGCAGGGTTGTGTCATCTGCATAACACAGGTTGTTGATGAGTCTTCCTCCAATCCTGATGCCACATTTCCCTCATACATCGCAGCCACCTAGATGATCAGTTCTGCATATAGATTGAAAAGGCATGGCAATGAGACACATCCTTGGTGTACACCTTTTCCGATTTTGAACCATGCAGTGTTTCCTTGCTCTGTTCTGATGACAGCCTCCTGGTCCAAGTATGAGTTTTGCATAAGTACAATCAAGTGTTTTGGAATTCCCATTCTTCTCAGAGTTAATCCACAGTTTCTTGTGATCCACACAGTCAAATGTCTTTGCACAGTCAATGAAACACATTGACAGACATTTTCTGGTACTGTCTGCTTTCAGCCAAAATCTATATAACATTTAACTATAAAATCCCTGTATCATGGCCTCTTCTGAACCCAGCTTTCATAGAAAGGTGCAATTAGGTCAGTTGGTATTATTATTATATCTGATCTCTTGGATGAAAGAACCCATCTGCTATTTTTACTTCCTCAACTTCTTCAGAATTTTTGGCTACTTGATACATTTTCTTATTAGTTTACTACTAAATATCTCCACTTTATTTTTATAAATATATCTACTCTAATTTCTAGTTTTGGTGTCCTTTGTGGTATCCTTTTTGTGCTACATGGGGTCTGCAGAACAGACTAGCCAGATGAACTGGGGTCTGTGGTCCAGAGTTTGCCAGCATTTGGGTGTGCCGGGATGGTAAGATACTGAAAGGTTGCGCCACGCCTAGGGTCTTGGGAGACAGACTTAGTGTCAGCTGAATGTGGCCTCTGGCTTCTTCTTGAGGTGTTCTGGGCACTGATGTGTCAAATGTGTTAATGGTTGGTTACCCAGTGCAGACAGTGTGAGGTGGAACTCCCCGATTAAAACAAGCTTGGGAGCAGGAGTGGCATCCACTTCCGTAATAGCTTGCCTCCAGAAACCCTATGAACCTGGAGAGAGGATGAAAGACACACAGGCATTGAGGACTCTTCTTCATAGGGTTGCTGTGAGTTGCCTGTGACTCGATGGCACTTAACAACAAAACATCAGCATAGAGAAAGATCACTTGGCCCAGTGGACAGAAAGCGATGCTACCAAGCCAAAGGTGGGTGACTTAATCCGTGGCCCTTGGGCCTGTCTTTCATTGTTTTTGTTCAGACATTCCTCTAGGTCATATAGCCCTGGTGTGTCCACTTACCATACAGCGGTAACTTGCGGTTGCTGTGAGGCTGAACACTGACACTGATGTGTCAAATGTGTTAATGGTTGGTTACCCAATGTGGACAGCGTGGGGTGGAGCTCCCCAATTAAAACAAGCTTGGAAGCAGGAGTTGCATCCACTTCCGTAATAGCTTGCCTCCGGAAACCCTATGAACCTGGAGAGAGGATGAAAGACACACAAGTGTTGAGGACTCTCCTTTATAGGGTCACTATGATTCGCCTGCAACTCGACAGCACTAAACAACAACAACAACAACCCTGTAAGTTCCTCAGATATTTAGATTGTAATGATTTTCCCTGAAAAATAGGTTTCAAGATCAAGTGTATTTGTATTTTGTCCTGCTTTGAAGAGTCACAGTGCTCATTCGCTAGTTAAGGCTTCTGATATTGTCTGCAAAACAAGTTTAGACATTTGAAAGCTCACTCGTACATAGAATCCACTTTTAGTGCAAAATAGTAACATCTCACTAATGACATTTTGGACAATGAATAAAGAAGGTGAAAGATGAAATGATGCATTTGAATTGTAGCTTTGGCAAAGAGTTTTGACTATTCCATGGGTTACCTACAGAACCATCAAATCTGACTTAGAGGAAGTACAGTCAAGGTGCTCCTTGGTGTCAAGGTTGGTGAAATTTTGTCTTCTGTACTTTGGGCATGATGTCAATCCTTGGAAAAAGACATTATGCTAGAGAAAGGAGAGAGAGAAGGAGAGGAAGACTCTGAACAAGATGGATTGATAAACTGACTGCAGCAATGGGCTTGAACGTGGCAAAGACTGTAAGGATGGCAAAGGACAGAGCAAAGTTTCAATCTGTTTTATCATTGTGGAGCTGTGATGGTAGTTGACTGAGTGGCACTTTACAACAACAACTAGGATGTTTTATAAAATACTGTTTTAATGCAGTCTCTGTTTTTCTTATCCTCTGATTTAGCATTGTTCACAAGGGCTTGGTTTTGTAAACTGTTGAATCCAACATTTTTTTTTCCAGGTTTTCCTCTGTCTCTGAGTCAACATTTTCGAAGAGGTTAAAATAGTTCTGTTCATGTTTTCTGTTTTAAAGCTGAAATTTTAAATTTACTTTTGTCAACTCTAGGCAATTCAGAAGAAATCATAGAAGGAAATTCTGTTGATTCTTCAGTTCAGCAAGTGGTGGAGAGTGGAGGACAAAGGGTCATCACCATAGTGACTGATGGAGTCCCTCTGGGTAATCTCCAAACTGCTCTCCCTCCTGGAGGCATTGGGCAGCCATTTATTGTAACTATGCAAGATGGGCAGCAAGGTGAGTTGTCCTTTTTAGACAATTATTTACTAAATATTTTAGACAGTTAAAACTGAGACATTAAAGCAAATAAATAGTGGAACTGGAAAGGTGCAAGTTATGGCAAAGAAGTTCTGAAAAAATAAGAGAAACCAGTTTGGCAAAGATTAATTTCATATATATATAAAGTGAGAATGAAAACCAGTAATCTGTTTTTTAAAAAAGAATAGGAACCAATAATGCACAGAATACAAAATACCAATGGCTCTTAAAAATATGAAAATAGTTCAGCCTACTTTATCCTTAACAAGAGAAATGCAGATAAATAAATACTTCCCTGAAGATAACATCATAAACATGTCAAGATTACTAGTATATAGGCATTCTTGTATTATCATTGATAAGAATGTAAAATTAATGCAATCTCTAAACAGCAAATTGGCAAGTTCTATCCTTATAAAACTTGACATACTTATTGGCTAAAAGGCAGTTCAAGTGGTCAAGTGAGTGGGTAAGAAGCTGCACTACCAACCCAAAGGCATGTTGTTTGAATCCACCAGCTGCTCCACAGGAAAAAGATGGACAGTCTCCTCCTGTTCACTTTATAGCCTCCAAAAACCCACTGGAGAGTCAGCTATGAGTCAGTGGCACATAACTATGACAAAACCTAAATACACATTTCTAACCTTTTACTTTGAAGAACTATAGGTTGATAGACAATTGTGAGAAATAATCAGACATAACCTATATTCTTTCCCCATTTTCCTATAATGCTAACATTTTATAAAGCCCAGTCCTTTGTAAAAATAAAAAGACATCGTACTGGGAAAGGTAGAGAGCCAGGGAGAGGAAGACCCTCAAGAAGACGATGGATTGACACAGTGACTGTAAGAGTGGTCTTGAGCATGATGGAGATTGTGACAGTGATGCGGGGCATAGAGAGGTTCCGATTTGTTGTTCGTAATATAGTTGTGTGTCATAGTCATATAGCATGTAACAGTAACTAGGAAATTGACAATGACAAAAATCCATCAACTCAAATGAGATTTTTCCAGTTTTACTTGTATTTATATACATGTGTGTGTATATTTAGTTATATACAGCTGAATACAGGGGTAGACTTGTGTGCATAATATGAAGATACAAAACAGTTCCATCACAATCCCAAATGCTTTCTTCCTATTTTCAAGATCACTTACTTCTTCATCCATTTCTAACCCCTATCAACCAATAATCTAATTTGGCCTCCAAATCCATATTTTTGTCATTTCAAGAATACTATATATAACCTTTTGAGATTGCCTTTTAAAATTTACCATATTTCTATTAAAAGTCAATGAAGTAGTTATATCAGTAATTCATCCATAGTTCACTGCTAAAAAAAAAAAAGTTCATTGCTGAGTATTCTAAGGTATGAATGTAGCAGTTTGTATCACCATTATAAGACATTTGAATTATTTACAGTTTTTTTATTATTAATAAAGCTTCTATAAATAGTCATGTATATGGTTTTTTGGGTTTTTTTCATGTACAGTTTTTTATATAAATATAGCTTTTCATACAGCTGGGATAACTATTCAGAAGTGCATTGGACTCCATTCAAAAGCATAGTAAGAAGAAAGAATTTTAAAGAAATTGCAAACTATTTTTTTAGTGACTATATCTTTTATATTCCCACCACCAGTAAGGTGTGAACAATCCATCTCTTCTATATCCATCCTCATTAGCATTGGCATTATGAATTTTGGCATTACTGTATTTTGTCTTAGCCATTCTGATAGGCATGTAGTATGATTTTTTTTGTGTTGTGTTCCTATGTTTGTGTTGAACTTTCTCTCACATCTCTGAAAAATAAAGCAATTGAGTATTTAATAAAAACTAAAAAATCCTAAGTAAAGACTTCAGGCCTTTTTTCTTTTTCTTAAGTTCAGATTCTAATGAAAGTTTATAGAGAACTTGGATTTCCATTCATACATTGTCGCACAATTTTCTCTCTGCCCCCTCCCCAGTTCGCTTTTCTCTTTGAAGAAAAAAAAATTATTTCATTGTTGTACAATTTCCCACCCCTACCCGAGTCCACTTTACTATGCAGCTCTTATTCTGGATTGTTATCATACAGATAACACCTAATCATTTATTCCTTTTAAGCAGTTCTTTCCCTCATCTGTTTCCATGCAGTGTACATTATTTATCCCCTCTTTTCTTAGTTTCCTCCCAACCCTTATGTCAGTCCTGTTTTATAACAGTGGGATTATGTAGTATTTGTCCTTTTGTGACTCAGATACTTCATTCAGCATAATGTCCTCCAGGGTCACCCATTTTGTATAGTATTTCATGAGTTCTTTGTTTTTTCAGTGGTGCATAATATTCCATTGTGTGGATATACCACAGCTTCTTTATCCATTCATTTGTTGATGGACGCTTGGGTTGTTTCCATCTCTTTGCTATTGTGAACAATGCAGCAATAAACATGGGTAGTGTATATATCTGCTTGGGTGGCAGTTCTGGTTTCTTTAGGGTATATTTCCAGTAGTGGAACTGCTTGGTCAAATGGTATTTCTATTTGCAACTTATTTTTTTTATTTTATTTTTATTATGTGTGTCTGTACCGTCAAATCAGATTTGACTGGTACAGGAGGAGATGGTTCCTTCCTTCTCCAGCAAAGCATCTGGTGGATTTGAACCGCACACCTCTGGGATCGCAGTGCAGCTTCTTGCCACTAGGCCACCAGAGCTCGCCTATTTGCAACTTTTTGAGAAAGCGACCTACTGCCTTCCAGAGTGGTTGCACCATTTTACACTCCCACCAGCAGTTCCAGTTTCTCCACAACCTCTCCAGCTGTTTTTTGTTTGCTGCTCTGTTGGATTTTGCTATTGTTACTGGGATAAGATGATATCTCATAGCTGTTCCGATTTGCATCTCTCTTAGAGCTAGGGATTTTGAACATTTCTTCATGTGTGTGTTTGCCATCTGAATGTCTTCTTTGGTGAAGTGTCTGTTCATATCCCATTTTGCAATTGGGTTGTTTATCTTGTTGAGGTGTTAGAGTGTTCTATAAAATCTAGATATAAGTCCCTTATCAGACATGTTATTTCCAAATTTTTTTTTCTCCAACAGATTTTTTTTTTAAATTTTATGTGTGTACCGTCAAATTGGATCTGACTGGTACAGGAGGCGATTGTTCCTCCCTCTTCAGCAGAGCATCTGGTGGATTTTAACCGCGTACCTCTGGGATTGCAGTGCAGTTTCCTGCCACTAGGCCACCAGAGCTCGCCCAGATTTATTTTTTTAAAGGAATGAATTGTGAGGAAAGAAAAAACATGAGGCAGAGAAAAATATGGGATAGAAAATAAATACAAATGTAAGCTGATTTGCTAATTGCTTTATAACCACAACAAACTGGTACAGAGGAAGGTCCTGTACAAAACACAACAAAGGTTCAAAGATGGAGGCGTTCTCTTAGCAAGGCTGAAGATTTCAGTTTCTGATATTTGGAATTTAGGCTGCAGTCCTTGTTTTTGGATGGATCACTGGGTGTGTGGGCACAGTCCATGCTTTAACCAGATTTGAACAGAAGAATGGCAACTTGGCCCAGGTAGAAGTAGATGAAGTACTTAGTTTCATGTGTCACATAACTACCGAAGTTTCTCCCCACGATGCAGTGCAAGGTGGGGTTGTACTTCTTGTCAAACTCCTTCTTGATGTGGGCCGCAGTGTCGTTCTCGCTGTTGTATTTCTCCAGCGCCTGGGTTGCGCACTCCACCGAGTCCTGTTGCATCTCCTCCGACATGTCCGCATTTTTGATCACCGCCTTTCGGTCGCACATGGTTGGTTACCGCGGAGCAGGCACTCAGCGTCTGCTATGGCTTTCTGGGGGAGGGGTTAGAGCGACTCAAGCCCCGCACAACCTACCGCCGCTCCCGAAGCCGTGGCGCATCTAAGTCGCCCCACGGCAGCCGGCGGCAGCCGCCGCCGCCTCCCAAATATTTTTTCCCAGTCTGTGGCTTTCCTTTTTACCCTGTTGGAGAAGTTTTTGGATGTGCATAGGGATTTGATTCTTAGAAGGTCCCATTCATCTATTTTATACTCTCCTGGTTGTAGGTCTTTCAGGATGCTTGGAAGACTGTTGATGTTGTGGGTTAGGGCTTCTAGAGTTCTTCCAAGCTTTTCTATGATAAAGTTTTTAGTCCTTGGTTTTAGTTCTAGGTCTTGATCTACTTTGAGTTGGTTTTTGTGTATGGTATGAGGTGTGGGTCTTGCTTGGGTTTTCTGCAGCTCGTTTTCCAATTTTGCCAACATCTTTTGTTTAAACAGCTGTTGTTTCCCCACTGAACTGATTTCATCTCCTTGTCAAAAATCAGTTGACTGTAGGTAGATGATCTGATTTTCTGGGTTTTTAATTCTATTCCATTGATCTATGTATCTGCCATTGTACCAGTACCATGCTGTCTTGACCACCATGGCAGTGTAGTAGGATTTGAAATCAGGGCGTGAGATGCCTTCTACCTTGTTTTTCTTTTTAAGAAGTGCTTTGCTTATTTGGGGCCTCTTTCCATTCCAAATGAAATTGGAGATTGTTCAGACCTTCTTTAGATAGGTTTTTCCTGCCGAATAGATAAGCTAGTTGGATATAGCTGCCGACCCATAGTCAGACATCTTTTGTAACATTCTCAGATACAAGACTTCCAGGCCTGAGAACCAATACCCTCTCTTCCTGAAGCTATCTTAGTGTTCTCTAATCCTTTGTTTCTCTCTGCAAGGTTATATTTTACCTATTGAGTTTAAAATCCAAAGAGATATAAAAAATAAAGATATTGGAGAACATATTTGCATATTTTAGAACTGAAAAAAAATATTTTTTACTATGTATTCATCGTTACTATGTCTCCCTCCAATCTGGAAGTCAGCCAGCTAAGCAGGGAGCTGGCTGGCGCCTCCATCTCCTCTTGGTGGCAGTCACACAAGGGAAGATTCTGGGGTCTTTTGTGTTGTGTGTTACTGTCCTTTTTGGCTTTCAAAGCTGCATGGGCGGTCCTGACCCTTAGAGTAAGGGTAAGTAAAGGTGGGATCAAGCCTGCGGAGCCTGCCCCAGGCCCTAGCTTAAAATCCTATCGAGCCCTCAGGTCAACCTTTAATTATTTTTGGTGAAACATTCTTCTAGGTCGTGTAACCCTGGTCTGTCCACTTGCTGTACAGAGGTAACTCCTCATTGCAGTGAAGCCTAACACTGTGACACTGATGAGTCAAATGCGAGAATGGTTATCCATTGTAGACAGTGTTTGGTGAAGGTCCCCGATTAAAACAAGCTTGGAAGCAGGAGTGGCATCTACTTCCACAATAGCTTGCCTCTTGAAACCCTGTGGACCTGGAGAAAGGACGAAAGTTATACAGGAGGTGTCCAGGACTTTCGTTTATGAGGTCACTATGAGTTACCTGCAACTCGACTGCACTTAACAACAACATAACATGTATTCATTACCTCCAATTGATGTCTCTTGTAGTTCTAACTGTACCTGCTGGTCAGGTTGCAGAGGAGACTGTAATTGAAGAGGAAGAGAAAGTAGAAGCAGAGAAGTTGCCATTGTCTAAGAAACCAAGGATGGAAGAAATGACAAACAATGTGGAGCAAAGGAAGGTAATATTTTTAGTAGTGATGGAGAGAAGAAAAGGGAAGAAGTCAAAGCTATCACTTTTAAGGTCTGAGCCCTTTTTTGTCTACTTTCTAGGTAATCAGTGATCAAGAATTCTTGCCTGCTGGTGACATGATTTACTTTTTTACAGGAAGGCAGTGAAAGAGCACTACTACAGCAACAACTCCAGGAGGCCAACCGAAGAGCTCAGGAATACCGACACCAGCTCCTAAAGAAAGAGCAAGAGGCAGAACAGTACCGCCTCAAGCTGGAAGCCATGGCCCGACAGCAACCCAATGGAGTTGAGCTCACCGTGGTTGAAGAGGTAGCTGAGGTAGCTGCTGTCGTAATTACAGAAGGAGAGGTAGAAGAAAGAGGGACAGAAATGACTGGGCCGGCAGAGACCATGGAGCCTCATACTGGAGTTTCCATGGAAACCATTACATCTTAACATGTAGGGGCCACAACTTGCACTGTGTCCATCTTTTTCATTTTTAAAACTAGAAGATACAGGGAACAAATATTGTATAAAATTTTAAAATGTCCTTAAGAAAACTACAGCAGGGTACAATGGTTAGGCTCAGGAAAGCTCTCTATGCAACTGGAAAATTCAAAGCCAAATTTAGGGGACACTTTTTCTGAAGGGCCAAAAAAATAAGGACCAAATTATTCAGGTCACCTCATTACTTTTGGAGATAAAGGAATGCTTAATGTTGTGGATAATTCACCGTTTTTTAAAAAAACTTACTTTCTAGAAAATGATTTTAAAATAATAGTCCATACACACGAGAGACTTTAATAATCTTACCATCAAGTGACCTGAAAATTTGACTTGCATTTATGATACATATCTGTTATTTAAGGAAATTAATGGGGAGGGAAAATTGGGAAGGGCGTACACCAGGGATGCATCCTATCTCCATACCTTTTCAACCTATATGCAGAACAGATTATCCGGGAGGCTGGGCTCTATGAGGAGAAATGTGGGGTCAGGATTGGTGGACGATTTATCAACAACCTGCGTTATGCGGATGACACAACCCTGCTTGCTGAAACTGAAGAGGACCTGAAGCGCCTGCTGCAGAGTGTCAAGGACTGCAGCCTCCAATATGGATTGAGGCTCAATGTGAAGAAGACAAAGATTCTCACCACTGGACCAATTGGCAACATCAGGATGGATGGTGAAGAGATTGAGATTGTACACAGCTTTAGTTTGCTTGGCTCCATAGTCAACAGTCTTGGCACCAGCAGCCAGGAAATTAAAAGGCGCATTGCCATGGGAAAGTCTGCTGTTAGGGACCTCTCCAAAGTACTGAAGAGCATTGGTGTCTCTCTGGAGACTAAGGTGCGTCTGATACAGGCCATGGTCTTCGCAATCACCTGTTATGCATCAGAGAGTTGGACAATGACCAAGGAGGATAGAAGGAGAATTGATGCCTTTGAGCTGTGGTGCTGGAGAAGAGTATTGAGAATACCATGGACTGCTAGGAAAACAAACAGATTTGTCCTGCAAAGGGTTAAACCGGGTGGCTCCTTGGAGGCAAAGATTCTGAGGCTCCGTCTAACATACTTTGGACATGTTGTGAGGAGGGACGGGTCCTTGGAGAGGGACATCATGCTTGGGAGGGTGGAGGGACAGCGCAGGAGAGGAAGGCCCTCTATGAGGTGGATTGATTCAGTGATTGGGATAATCAGGATGTGAGTGTCAGAGACAGTGCGATTGGCACAGGACAGAGCGGAGGAGGTTAGGGCTGTTGTACACAGGGTCGCTATGAGTCGCAAGCAACTCGACAGCACATCAACAGCAGCAAAGTGGGGAGGGGGAAGGGTTGGAAGTTAGCTTTGGAGAAAAAAAAATCACTGCCAAAAAGTAGATCCACCCAGCTATCCTAAATTAATTTCACTGAAAAGAAACTTGTGCAGTTATCCGGCAGATTTATATTCATTGTGTGCCATAGCTCAGATACTGGCTTAAGAAACAGAAATGGAGTTTTTAAAAACTAGAAGAGAAAGAAAACTTGTTTATGTGGGACATGTGTATATAAAAGCAGAATCCTCCGGGCTGTGCTTCCTTCATGCTGGAAAGTGGCCTAGGAGGAACTTGTGAACTTCTGAAAAATCTGGTTCAGAGACGCAAACTTTACTCTGGCTGGGTTTTGTACAGTTGCAAACAAGAGGGGTTCTCTTGTCAGAGCAACTTGCTTTCAGACAATTCTTTATGTAATATCAAGCTCAAATGCTTGCATTTTATAAAATGTAGAATTGTGTAAGTGTTATTTAGGACACGTGTGCCTTTCCGTGTGGAGTTTAACGTTAGCCTCTTAGATGCAGAAAGAAAAAAGGACCAGAGGTAAATGCTGAGAATAGCCTGTAGGTTTGTTTTTATTTGATTTGAGATTAACACATTGCCCTATTTTGTTAAGCTTGGGTCTAGTAAGAGCTCTGTGTCCTATAGGGACTTATTGCAGGTTGGCAAAGGGAATAAAAACTATTGGTGCCATAAAGTAAAGAACCAAAGATTCTGACCAGGTACTTTGTCTCCTTTTTTTCTTCTATACCTGTTTCCTTTGCCCAGAAACTTTGGGGAAGTGTTTCACTGCTGTATTTTCTTTGTATGTCAGCATGGAGTTTTTGCAAAAGTAAAGGAATGTAGATGGAGAGAGAGAACTTGGAGGAGGTTACATTATAAGAGGTAAATTCAGCCTTTGAAATTTGATTCTCATTCTAGTTTGTTTGCTTGCTTTGTTGCAAATTAGAAGAAACCAGAGGGAGATGTACCAAGTAAACATTGAATGACTATTTAGAATATGGTTTTCTTAATAGCGATCATGGGGGAAACATACATTTTTAATTTGGAAAAATACTTGACAGTTAACATGGCTCTATTTACCTTGATTAGCAGAGTAATTTGCTGCAGTTTCCAGAGGTGCAGAATCATTCTGGGCTCAAAAATAAACTGAAAACATAACTCCTTAAACCAAATTTAACAAACAGAATTGGCTATTAGAGAGTTTGGGGGGTGGTTTGAAATCTGTTTTTAAATTGGTCTTGGCTACTTGCCACCTTAGCTGGGTTTTCTCCACAGACCAGAGAACTGAGATAATCAGTGATTACTCAGGGCTGTTGGGGATGGTGAGTGATGAGAGAAATGCAGTAGAGGGGCCTAGGTAAGGATGAGGATGAAATTGTGGTATCTGCTAACAGATCTTGCTGTTCCTGTTTGTTATGTATTTCTTTATTCCAATTCCCTATGGGAACCAGGTGCTAACAATAAGCTGCTATGTTTGTCCTTTCAGAGCCTTAGCTTAACTAGAGGGACCAGGTATGGTTTCAGATGTCTTTTGTTTATGTTATTATTTCGTTTCTTGACTGTAATTCCTTTTTTGAAAAAGCACATACATATTTATAATGGGATAGAGGCTAATTCTGTAGAATATATCTAGACCCCACCACTAACTCTGGGTAGCTAGAGGGAGAGGAAGTGCTCTCTTCTGCGCAAGTAGCAGAACTTCCCACCTTTGAGAAGAATTGTTTAGTTCTTCTTACTGTCTTCCTCTAGGGTACTATTCATTCTCACCCCCTAAATTGTCTACTCCTATAGTCCAAGTCATTTTTGATGGTGATGTTGTCTGAGACAGACCAATTTGTTAGAGACGAAGCCGTGGTAGAGAGAGGGAGAAAGTAATGTCAAAAGGGATGGTTAGCAAAAAGATGTTAATTTTTTATTAACTTGGAATAAAACTTTTAGTATTTCAGAAAATGAGAATAGACTTTGATTTCCAGTTTCATTGCCAAGGATGAATGGCACATGGTTAGAAATAAAATACTAAGTTTATTAATGACAATACTATATCAGGATTTTGTTTCTCTTTCCTTTTTTATTTTATTAATTTTAATGAACATTTACAGAGATTTTGGATTTCCATTCATTCATTGTTGCACTTTTCTCTCTGCTCACCCCTCCCTCCCAGTTCACTCCTCTCTTTGGAAAGTAAAAGAAAAATTCCTTCATTGGTACATAATTTCCCTGTCCCCGCCCTCCCCCCCGCCCTGAGTGCACTCCACTGTGTACCCTTAATTCAGGACTCCTGTGATAACCTTAATACCCTATCATAGATCCCTTTTAAACTGTTCTGTCCCTCATCTGTTTCAATGCAGTATATGTAATTTATCCAGTTTTTCTCAGCCTTACCCCAACCCTGATGTCAGTCCCATTGTACAACAGTGGTAGAATGCAGTATTTGTCTGTGACTGAGACATTTTACTCAGCATAATGTCCTCCACAGTCACCCATTTTGTATAATATTGCATGAGTTCCTTGTTTTTCAATGCAGCGTAGTATTCCATTTTGTGAATATACCACAATTTCTCTATCCATTCGTTTGTTAATGGGTGCTTCTCTTTTTTTTTTTTTTTTTTTGGGTGCTTTTCTTTCTTGACCAGCTATGGAAATTGGGGAAATGTTGCTTAGATCTTCTGAGTATCAGGATTCTAACAGATTTGCCAGCAACTTCAATTACAGAGGATCAAATAATAGTTACCATTCTCCAGACAAATTCTTCAGAGTTGGTACTTGAGCAGAAGAAACTTGGGAGTCTAGGATGACCGCCTCCTTTAAAATAAAGCTGCTTTTGCAATATCAGTATTAATGTCAGGAATTTTAGACTCTCTGCCTTTTAGTCTTAAGCTTTCTCCAAGAAAGAAAAAGAAGTTTTAATTTCTTGTTCTTAGCTTCAGGGAAATTAATTATAAACCTGCATTCCCTTCCCATCACTACCTTGGTGGGATCTCTTAATTGTCTTGCTAGAATTGAGGTCTCTTAATTAAAATGTGGGAGAACTTGGCTTTAGGTTTTCTGTGTTTTTTTAGCTTAGTGTCTTAAAAGGTGTTTTTTTCTATCTGATCCAAGTTTTGTTATTTTTTTGCCTTTTCCCTTCCTTATTGACCTTACCATTTTTATGTAAAATCTTTTTGTGTATTAACATAAAAGAAATTAATTTTAAAAAGAAAATTAACTTACAGAGGCTCTCCAAGTAAAATAGATATGTGGGTTGGTTTTGTTTCATTTTTGAGTTGGTTTTTTTTTAATACCCCATTGTTGAGTGTATTTTAGTGTATACCTTTATAAATATATATTCATTTTCCCACCTTTTTCTAAAGTACTTGGTATAACAAATATTTCATGAAACACATAGAAGAGGTTTCTTAGGATTATCTGAAAATGTACACAATGTGGATACTGACAAAGAGAAATCATTGCATTTGCCCTTAGAGATGTGTCTACCGGAAAATGCTCTAACAGGCCATAATGAGCGACTTGAGGAGTGAGGCCCCAGGGATAACCAGTGCTTAGGCTTAAAGGGATTTGTTTGGCATATAATATAGATGACACTATATATGCTGGAAGATTCAAAGTAGTGTCGGATATAGAGACAAAGCTGCCCCTAACAG